GAAGTTGGTATACTATAATAAATCTCTAGCACTGTACAGAAGCTGGTATACTATCATAAACCTCCAGTAGCATGTAGAAGTTGGTATACTATAATAAATCTCTAGCACTGTACAGAAGCTGGTATACTATCATAACATTCCAGTAACATGTAGAAGTTGGTATACTATAATAAATCTCTAGCACTGTACAGAAGTTGGTATACTATCATAAACCTCCAGTATCATGTATAAGTTGGTAAACTATAATAAATCTCTAGCACTGTACAGAAGCTGGTATACTATCATAAACCTCCAGTAGCATGTAGAGGTTGGTATACTATAATAAATCCCTAGCACTGTACAAAAGCTGGTATACTATCATAAACCTCCAGTACCATGAAGAAGTTGGTATACTATAATAAATCTCTAGCACTGTACAGAAGCTGGTATACTATCACACACCTCCAGAAGTGTATAGAATTTAGTACACTATGACAAATCTTTTATAATGTCTTCTTCTTCAATCTGATCACTGATTTAAAAACCTACAACTTGTAAAACACTTGATATATTTTCAATTTTTTTACCAAATCTCTAGTCAAAGAAGCTAACTGAAAATATCCTCAGAACACACAAGAAGTAGAAATGTCCCCATAAGACAAAAATTAACTTGATGATTTCACTTGAAAAAAATTTACTAGTTCAACCTTAAATTATTTGTCGGCTAGAGGTTTTGAAATAAATGTTCAATATATTACTTTTTCTTTTAATTACCAATAATAAAATAAAAATAATAACTTTTCCTTTTTGTTAGTGACTTTCAGTTACAAGATTCAGTATACCAAGCACAAAACAAATGCTTATATTATAATACATCTTAAGGTATTCAATACTTGTCAAATTTTACAAAATAAAATGGTTAAAATGAAAGAGAGAATTTAACTTTTTCTATTTAACACAGTTCAATCTAAGTTAAGTATACAGAAAAGCAACTAATCAGGATTAAGATCTATAAAAAAATATAGGTTCCTTAAGTTACCAACAGTTGTTAACTGAGAGTCTTTTGTAGTATTCAGCAGCTTTTACAGCTGGAAATGGCCATTAAGTAAGTACTTCAAACCTTGTGAAATTAAACACAGGAAAATAGCTACTCCACTAACAGTATGATAAGCTAACAAGTGACTAAGCATTTAGGTATTTGGGATTACTATCATTCATATAGCTTCTAAAATAGAAGTTTATCTCAGCTAAGTAACTACTCTATTAACACTATTACCAAAGTAATAGAAATTTCTTCTTTTATCTCGTTTATATACCAGGAATTTTACTGCATGATCTTATTATTTCTTTACTAGCTGCAAGCAACAATATAATGCTACATTCTATGATAGAAAAATAAAGTTCAGTAAATCTATAAATTTTTAATCTAATAAAATGAAGAAATGTTTAATGCATAGAAAGATACAATCCTGTTATAAATATATATATGTACTTTTACTTATCAGTGTATCCTCCTTTTACAATCAAACTGGTTTTTTTTGGCATTTATTTACTCTCATAAAACATTTTCTTTCTAAGAAGGGAAATAAAGTTAGGTGAGTTGAATACTTAAGTGTTTAGGATATACGAGTATTTGTTACCTCTCATGGTGAGTTGAATACTTAAGTGTTTAGGATATACAAGTATTTGTTACCTCTCATGGTGAGTTGAATACTTAAGTGTTTAGGATATA